ATGTTTTTCTTGTGTAATCTGCTTCTAAATCCTATGACAACTGGCATGAGGATCCATTGCATTTTGAAGTAGATGACCCTTCGAACAACATTCTTGGGGAAACATCTCTTGAATTTTTTCCTCAACATGTCCATGGATCCTTATTCTCAGTAAAGGAAAACTCATCTAATCTACTCATTTAAGAGAGAGTTAGTCTACCATCTCTAAATTTGAGAGGTTTACTTCGAAAGGTAGCAGTGACTRGATTTCAACCAACCGTCATGTATTGACCCATCCTTACTATTAGCATGGCAGACAACCAAATCAAAGAAAAAGAAAAGGTAAATAGAAGATTCAAGAGGACCAGATAGAAGAGGGAAGGGTGGAATGAGGCACAAAAGGGTGAGCCCATCTCTCCAAATATTTTCCCAAAATCTGATATTGGGTACTAGTCGATACTTTATGCAAAAGACTTCCTGAAAGCATCCTTAGACCGTTAATCTCATCAGTCTCATAATGAAACAAAGGGCTTCCCTTTCAAGATGAAACCTCCCAAGCCACTTCTCAAGTGAGTTTGAGTTTATATTTGTGATCATCACATTTTTTGTGCCTTGGCTACCTATCTTAATGAGCATCTTCCAATTAGTTTGATGAATTATCCTTTTGATTCATTAGGCGCTTGTAAATAAAATCCCAAAGTTTTCTCAATTAATATAACAACTTGTGTTGGGATCTTGACAGAATTCAACTTTATTTATTCATAATTGAGGATCCATTCCTCATAAAGATGAAGATCAGAAGGTTCCCCTACTCTCCGAATTGCTACCTCACCATTGACAAATGCATACATTCTTTAAATTTCGACCAGCGTTTTTCAAAGCATGGGGAACAATAGCCATCAGGGGCTTAAGCATGGAGCACAAAGAAAAGTGAGGCTATTTTTTTAGGAGACGCACACTAGAAAAATGTACTAAATTTGGAAATCTTTAAATTTATCCCTAAACGTAGGTAGGTGAGTCAATTTTAACCTTAATGGACCAATCTTTTTTTTTTTAACAAGAAACAAACTTCTCATTGAATTAATGAAAAGTAATGAAAATGTTAAAAGATACAAACTCTCGTAAGAGTGAAAAAGATAAGAGAAAATACAAATAACCAGAAAATAACAAGATAAGTTCAAAAATTAAAAGATAAGGTAAAAGCTCCCCAATTGTAGCAGATAAGCGAGGGAGAGAAATTCTCAAACATAGGTGACATTGAACTCCACTGTGAAGCCTTAAATTTAGCCAAACTGAAACGACCCCACGGAGGTTTGCGATGATCTTTGAAAGTTCTGAGATTTCTTTCGTACCAAAGCTCATAGAGCAAGGCCTTGACTCCGTTTGTCCACAGCAAGCTACTTTGTGGAGATAGGATTGGGCCAAGGAGTAATTGGAGAACATTATCCACTGCTATTTACTGAAGACCCAAGATAAGTTGAACTCTTTGAATAACAAGAACCAGCAATGCAATGCATAAGGACATTGGAAGAAGATATGGATCAGATTCTCCCCACTTGCTTGACAAAACATGCATATTGATGGCTGAAGACAAAAAGCAGAGAGCTTTCTTTGTAGAACATCATCTGTATTCAACCTTCCTTTAATGATGATCCAAACAAAACAACCGATCTTCTTTGGGCTCTTTGTTTTCCAAATAGCCTTATAAAGATCAGAAGGAATTAGAGATGTCGATGAAGAAGATTTGCAAAGAGATGCCACTGAAAAGGAGCCTGAAGCTTCCAAGGACCAGGAATGACTATCTTCCAAACTATACTGTTCGGGATGTAGGTGTTTAAGACAGCCAGTAATTCAATAAATTCCTCAGCTTCCTCATCTTTAAGCAACCACCTTCTTCCAATGATGAGAAATGTTGATCCAAGGACATCTTGCACACCTGTTTGGTCTTTCCCTTGAAAACCAACCAAGATTTCTCAGGCCATAAATACTTTCCACCACTTGATGCCAAAGTGCAAAAGGTTCTTGCCCAAAACTCCACCCCCATTTGGCAAGGGCACTATTTTTAGTGGATAGACCGCCAACTCCCAAGCCTCCATCCTCTAAATGTTTGGAAGTGATATCCCACCGGACTAAGTGAAGTAACTTGTGATTTTCTCTGCTGTTCCAAAGGAAACTCCTCAGCCTTTTTTCAATCTGTTTTCTAACCCCTGTTGGCAGCTAAAAAAGTGAAAGATGATATATGGGAATATTAGATAAAACCGATTTGCATAAGGTCAACCTTCCTCCTCTTGATAGCTGGAACTTCTTCCATCGATCAAGCTTCTTTTCTATTTTCTCAATGACTGGACTCTAGAAAGAAGCAGACCGTGGGTTGCCACCAAGTGGTAAACCGAGATACGAGAAAGGCAAGTGCACTATCTGACATTTAAATGAAGAGGCAACCTGTTCTAGCTTGTTTTGCTGGATATTAATGCTGCAAATAGCAGATTTCTCCCAATTTACAGAAAAACCCAACACCCATTCAGGCTTTGACTGTTTTGAAAAGGTTAGCCAGCATTTCATCGTTATCCTTACAAAAAATAAGGACGTCATCAGAAAACTGAAGATGAGAAACGTGTACCTGTTTGTTGCCAATCAAAAAGCCTTCAAAAGAGCCATTCAAGTAAAGCTTATCCAACATACTACTAAATTCATCGCTGACAAGAAGAAAAAGGTAGGGAGAAAGTGGATCTCCCTGCCTTAGACCCCTTGAAGCCTTTATTCTGCCCTTTGGTCTCCCATTAATGAAAACTGAAAAACTAGTGTTCCTTACACAACCGTTGATCCAGTGAATCCATCTACTCCGAAACAATTTCTGATGAAGAACGGTTTCAAGAAAATTCCAGTCAACTTTATCGAAGGCCTTCTCGAAATCAAGTTTAATCAGCCAACCTTTCTTTCTTCTGAATTTATAATCCTCCACAGCTTCATTAGCTATTTAAATTGGATCAAGAATCTGCCTACCTTCGACGAAAGCGCTTTGGGTAGGAGAGATGGCAAGTGAGATTACCTTATTTAGGTCGTTCTGCTAGAACCTTGGCCAACACTTTATAAATGGAATTTGAAAGGCTGATTGGTCTAAATTCCCTGATGCTTGAAGCTGCCACCTTCTTTGGTATTAAACATATGAAGTTCTCTTTGAGACATCTGTTGAGATGACCATTTTGACAGAACTCCTGAAGCAAACGAATAAAATCAGACTTCAAAGGCTGCCAAAATCTGATTAAAATTCAGTTGTATATCCATCAGGTCCCGACACTTTGTTCCTGCCAAGGTCATTCAATACTGACCATATTTCTGATTCTTCAAACTGTCTTTCTAACCATAAACTATCTGAGGATGAAATAGGTCTCCAATTAATACCTTGTAAGGAGAATCGAGGAGCATTCGTGCAAGAATAAAGATGCTCAAAGTAGGATATGATTTCTAACTCAATATCCTTTTGATTGATCAGTGAAATACCTTGCTTGTTCTTCATTTCAGAGATCAGTGACTTTCTTTTACGGGCAGCCAGGTACCTATGGAAAAAGTTGGTATTTTCGTCCCCTTCCTTCAACCATTTAACTTTATTTTTCTGAAAAAGGTCCCTCTCCTCAATATACAAATTGAGCAAATTAACTTGGAGGTCGCTTCTTTTTTCAGACTCCTCAGTGGAGAGACCGGCTTCTTCCTCTTTGATGCTAGAGAGGAAATTTGACTTAATATCTGACACTCTGCTTTTTTTTTCCTTTCTTCATTAATGCCAAGCCTTTAAGGATGATTTGAGGTTTCTCAACTTAGAAAAGAGAGAGAAACCAGCCCAGCCATAAGATCTATCCTCAGCAAGCTTATCTTCTATAATGTTGATGCAATCTTTGTTACTTAACCATGAATTAAGAAAGCGGAATGAGCTTGGTCCCCATTTGAAATCCCCTGCCTCCAAAAGGATTGGAAAGTGATCGGATACTATTCTATCGGCCCGAGAAGCTCTGGAATTTGAGAAGACAACTTCCCATCCGATTGAAATGAAAAATCTATCCAACAGTGAATGAATAGAGGCATTGCCAGACTTAGACCACGTGTATTTCCCATTTGATAATTTCAACTCTGTGATCTCAAGCTCCTCAATAAGATGATTGAATTTCTTCATGGCTCTTGAAAATCTTGGGAGTGTGCTCCTTGAAGATTAGGAATACTTCGATTCTTCTAAAATGGCTGTGGAGATTTATGAACAGGGAAAAGGCCCTTTTTTGGAGAAGAGTTGTTTGCCAACATCGGTCGGTTGGTTTGATAGAAGGTTTTCTTCCAAATCGACCTTCCTTCATTTACCCCATTCTTCTCCCCTAAGTTGAAAGATCTCTGGTTGCTAGCATTTGGAACTACAAATTCCCCAAAAAGGTGAAGCTTTTCCTGGACAGTGACTTATTGAACTTTCAATACTTAGGAGAAGCTTCAGAGACAGTTTCCCAGTGGGCTTTATCCCCTTCGATATGCAGCTTGTGTTACAAGAATGTAGATTCCATCCGATAATATTCACCTCCATTATTCTTTTGTGAGGGAGGGGTGCTATGTTATTTGGAGGATTTTTGGGTTGTCTTTATGTCTTCCGAGGAAGAATTGATGATTGGCTTTCTAAAGCTTCCGTTGGCTAGCAGTTCAAATGAAAGGCAAAAGTTATTTAGAATTGTGTTATGAAATCTCTCCATTGGCATGCAAGCAAGGAAGATGTTTTTTACCAGACATTGCCAAAGACAGTGCCTTTTCTCTCCAATTCGTGAAGTTTGTAGCAAGGAGTAGAAAAAATATTGGAAGCATATGGCTTTCTTAAAACCTCTTTGGCGCATCATTTCCTCGAGGTTTGCTTTGTATCTTTTAAGAAACCAGGCGTCTATTGCTGACCGTTGGATTTCGGACAATCATTCTTGGGATTTAGGGGTAAGAAGATGCCAATTTGGCCAAGAATTCAGCAGTTGGATTCTCCTAATTGACATACTCAACTCGATTGTGATTGGGAATAGCCTGGACAAAGTTAGTTGGCACATTGACTCATTGCGAAGGTTTTCTTCCGAATTGATTTCCTTCATTTACCCCATCATTATCTCCTAAGTTGAAAGCTCCTCTAGTTGCTAGCATTTGGATCTAGGAAATCCCCAAAAATGGAATATTTTCCTGTAGCTTATAGAAGTTTGAATTCTAAGGAGAAGCTTCAGAGAAAGTTTCCCAAGTGGGCTTTATCCCCTTAGATATACAGCTTGGGTTACAAGAATGTAGATTCCATCTGATCATATTTTCCTCCATTGTTCTTTTGTGAGGGAGGGGTGTTATGTTATTTGGAGGTTTTTTGGGTTTTATTTATGTCTTCTGAGGAAGATTGATGATTGGCTTTCTGAAGGTTTTGTTGGCTGGCAGCTCAAATGAAAGTCGAAAGTTATTTATAATTGTGCTATGAGATGTCTCCATTGGCATTCTTGGAGGGAGAGGAATTGTGGAATTTTTTAAAGAGAAATCGTCTCTAATGTATTATTTTTGTAATAGTTTTCGATACACTGCTTTCTGGTGGTGCTCAAGCTGTATAAAATAATTTTGTGAATTGTGACTACAGCCTTCCCACTGTAAAAGATTGGAAGGCCCTTCCCTCTAGGTTTTATTTGATAGTTTTTTTGGAATATATCTCCTTGTTTCTTATCAGCCAAAAAAAAAAAAAAAAGGTGGTTGAGCTTTTATTAAACTATATCATTGGAATTACTCCATTTTTTGCCATTTTTGTATTTTAGTAGTTTTAGCTCTCAGAAAAAGTAATTTGTATAATGGGTACAATAGTTTGGAAGATAGTACACCAACTTTAGCCATTAAAATTAAAGCCATATGATGGAGACTGAAACAAAAAGAAATTAAAAAAAAAGGGACAAGAAAAATAGACAACCTACCCCGAAACTAAAATTTGACAATTTACTAAAATATGAAGTGATGTTTTTCGCTCGATATTCATTACCAAATGAAGTATGGAAATATGCCAAGGCTTATTCCACCAAGTTATCAATGGGCAAAGAGAATATTATCCCTACATTCTTCGGGAATGTGTGTTCGTATCCCTCCTAAATCTTCCATTGACCTCCATTCCAAACACCTTACTCTCACCTCATAACATTGCCTTACCTCGTAGTTTCATCTTCTGTATTTAGTTTTGTATGTTAGTTTTATTATCTTGTACTTTTGGTGGCCAGTTATCTTCATGTCTACCATAGGTAAAATTCTTTATAATGTAATATAGGGGTACCACCACTGACCATCCTCTCTATACCTTGAATTTTATGCTTTTTAAGACGTTGTTTCTCTTTTTCTTTGATGCCTACACATACCTACCAAAATGCTTTCAAATGCTTTCCGAAATGTTTTGTCTAACCACATTTTCTAAAACTGGTTTTTCTTGAATGGTGGGTGGAGGTTGTGACTTGTGAGATAGACCTGCTTGTTGGCTACGCGGGGAACTGAGTTGCTTACAAGCTAATGCTGCAAAATCGTTTTGCATTATGAGAAACATGATTGTGACACCACGAATTCATCTCAGATGGAAAACATGGGAGTATAACAAAAAGGAAGGAACTGAGAGTGAGAGGAATCTATTTATTTATTAATTATTATTTTTTTGAATAGAAGAGGAATCTATTTATTAACTTGATTGATACCGTGATTTCATTGCATGTCATAAAGTCATTGATCTAAAGCTCTGACAATTGAAGATTACATGTTTCTTCTTCTACATAGAAAGTTGCACTAAAATCTTTTTTTAGGCCTTCCCCATAAATTTGAGTTGCACCCTCTCCTGCACATTAAATTCTTTCATCCTCTTTTTTCCCCTTATCAATATAAATTAATAACTCTAATTTAATTGCTTAAACTCCAAACTCTTAGTATTCACGAACCATGACAATTTAAGTACACATATTACTTTGTTCCTTTTTCTCTTCATTCATTGACATCAAAGTTCTAAAGTTTTCACTTTCTTGATCTCACAGAAGAGAGCTCGTAAACAGAAGTCAAATGACCATGACTCAAATGGTAGCAACTTTATCTTTGCAAATAATGAAAAAGAGGCTGAATCATACTTTTGTTTTCCTTTTTTAACTTGGGCAATTGATGACGATGCAGGTAGTAAAGGGCAGCAACTTTCAGCTACTTGGTTTTCAGCAAAGTCATCTAAAAAGGTTTGTGATCATGAACATTTCATTCACATCACCATATTTGTGGCAGTTGTTAGTTATGGCAGTTTTTCTAACCTGGATGTATCCCCCCCCCCCCCAAATGCCATTTCAGATACCTCTTTCTTCCGTTACATCAATCGTTGATGGTTTGAAGAGGCTATACATTCAGAAGCTAAAGCCCTTAGAAGTTACTTATCGGTTTAATGATTTTGTTTCCCCATTACTGGTCAGTGTCATGTATGTTTTTGTATATTTTTTTCATTACATATGCGAGATTTTCTCCCTCTTAATTTTTTTTTTAATTTTAATTTTTATATTTAACATTCATGATATGATGGATCATGGTTTACAATGTAGATTATATAGTTATATTGGCTTGTCCTCCTATGACTCAGACAAATAGTGACTTCGATGCTAAACCAATGGTTATGCTTTTGGGTCAATACTCTACCGGTAAGACGACATTTATCAAGCATATGCTGCAAAGCAGTTATCCAGGTGAGATTTTGTATTTTTCTGCTGACAACAAAGTACTTGCTCAAAAGCAGTTGTCCCAAGTATAAGGCTCCATCAGTGAGAGAGAGAGGGGTGGACTGATTGAGGGCCCACCCACACAGACCATTTTTTCCCCTAATTTTAGCAGGGGCCCCATGTTTATGTGTCATAGTTAGGAACAGAGACGGGGAGTGAGGGTGAGGGGAGAACGTGAGTTTCTTACACATCTGATATTGTTTTAATTCTCTTTCCCATTTATCCACTTTTAACAGGAGCCCACATTGGACCAGAACCTACAACTGACAGATTTGTTGTTGTTATGGTAAGTGCTTATTCTTTTTTCAAATCGCTCTCCCCCCATGGAGGGAGACATGGTGTGGCTAATGCTGGAATGATCAAGGAAATAAAATATTGATTTCTAAGCTAGTAATTTGATTCAGCTCCACAATCTAATAGTGTTGTTGATATCTAAATTGAAGAATATATTGCTGTTACTTCAATTATATTTTCCACTTTTTATGCAAATTTGACAATTTCTATTTACTATCTGGCTTTTTTCTTCATGGCGCATGCTATTTATTCTGTGAAAAATGTTAATTTTACATGTTAATAATTTCTTATAAAAAATGTGTTAACAACTTCACTGCCCTCGTCTAATGCATCTGATGGCTGCATCTTTTCAAGTCCTTTATTTCATAGAAGGGGAAAATGAACTAAATTCCTTTCAAGTATTTTCTTCCTGCATCTTGGTTGTTGTGTGAGAATTTCTTCTTGTGTTTTTCTGAAGATTTTCTTAGTGTCAAAGATGGATGTTGATTTTTTAGGTTTTCTTTGAAATTCTTCATAAAAGGAATATATATATTCTTTTGTTCTCCATACCTAATTCTTTGTTGGTTGCTCCCTTTTTTAGTCTGGCCCTGATGAAAGAAGCATTCCTGGAAATACTATTGCCGTTCAAGCAGACATGCCATTTAATGGTCTCACAACCTTTGGAACTTCTTTTCTATCAAAATTCGAGTGTTCACAAATGCCACATCCTGTAAGATTATATCAAGTTGTTACCATGAATACTGATTTGAATACTCTTTCCATGGCGTTTAACTGTTATTTTTAATGTAGCTGCTACAACATATTACATTCGTGGATACTCCCGGAGTTTTGTCTGGAGAAAAGCAACGAACACAGCGAGCTTATGAGTTTACAGCTGTAACATCATGGTTTGCTGCTAAGTGCGATCTTATTCTACTTTTGTTTGATCCCCATAAACTTGATATTAGTGATGAATTCAAGCGAGTTATATCATCGTTACGTGGGCATGATGACAAGATTCGAGTAGTTTTGAACAAGGCAGACCAAGTTGACACGCAACAAGTAACTTATTTTTATTGTTATCCTGGTTTTCCATTTTACAGGACGAAAATATATGGCCTTGGTGAATCTAATTAATCTCTTTTGAACATTTCAGTTGATGAGGGTTTATGGGGCATTGATGTGGTCGCTTGGGAAGGTTCTGAATACTCCTGAGGTTGTACGCGTTTATATTGGGTGCGGTCTCTTGCTCGATATCATACTCCTGGTTTGCCATTTTTATCTCTTGGCTTACATTGACATATGCGGTCATATAATTTGGCCTTATCCAATGCTGAGTGGTTTCTAATGGATTTTTCGACAATGATGTATCTTGCTGGTTCACATATGGAATTTTCTGGCAGTGACTTTTAGTGATCCATTTTTCATATATGTTGCCAGCCATTTGGTCATTTCATTGTCTAGATCATTGACTTTTTATAGGACTCTTATATTATCGGGGATGTCATATGCTTACATAGTTGACATATTTCCTTGTGACAGGTCATTTAATGACAAACCAGTCAATGAAGCTGCTACGGGTCCGCTTGGGAAGGAGCTCTTTGAAAAAGAACAGGAAGATCTTCTTTCTGATTTGAAGGATATTCCGAAGAAGGCCTGCGATCGAAGAGTGAGTTTCCCTAGTCTAATATTCACAATTTTCTGATGTAAAGTGGTATTTATCTGTGTAATATGGAGCTGTATGGAAATCGGAAGTCTACTAGAAATAGAAAAAGAAAAGTAGTTTATAATAACATTGGTTTTTGACAGATAAATGAATTTGTCAAGCGCGCGAGAGCTGCTAAAATTCATGCCTACATCATTAGCCATCTAAAGAAGGAGATGCCCGCCATGATGGGCAAAGCTAAGACCCAACAGCGGCTTATTGATAATTTGGCCGATGAATTTGGAAAGGTATTTTCTTTGCCCGATAGGAAGTTCTGTATTCGAACCTTTGTAATTTCCTCCTCAATTTTCAAATTTTCAAATTTTCAAATTGCCAGGATGAGTGTTAAAGAATTGATAAAATGATTAGATTTACTATTACTCATGAGCTTAAGCCTTGAGTTTAGTAACGATTCAACAACTCCCAAGAAAAATGGTATGCATGCTTAAAACTTTTGGTAACTCTCTCCAGGTACAAAGGGAGCATCACTTACCCGCTGGAGATTTCCCGAACGTCGACGAATTTAGAGAGATATTGGCTGGTTACAACTTCGACAAGTTTGAGAAGTTGAAACCAAAGATGATTCAGTCCGTCGACGACATGTTGGGATACGACGTCCCAGAACTTTTGAAAAACTTCAGAAATCCCTATGACTGAATGAGGCAGTAAATTATCGAGCTTGGACTTTCAGGTATACATTCAAGGCCTTCTTGAACTTGACTTTCAGGTATTACACGGCTGCTTTTTGCAGTCAGTTCATATCTTCTTGAACTTTTAATGTAATGTATAATTATAACTATAGTCTATTGGAAGCATAGTTACCGTTATTACCAATCAGCATCCATTCTTTAAATTATTTTCTATTTAATAAAACGATTTATATAAAAGAAATATATATTATTTTCTATTTATTCGAGCTTGACTTTCAGGTATTACACGGCTGCTTTTTGCAGTCAGTTCATATATAAATAATTTTTAAATTCCTTTCGGTGTTTTTGTAATAATCTTGTGTATTGCTTATTATAGTAAATAGTTTGTTCCATTTGTTCCATTAAATACTTTTTACCATTTTTTACTAAATATCTCTTTCTTAGTTAGCAATGTTTTTGTAAGAAATAGTTTAAATTGATTATCTAACTAGTGGTTATAAAGTGATTGATTGGTATCACTTCTTTTGGTAAATTGGCATTTGTAGAATTACTTCTAAATGTAATGAATAAAAGTTTTTAAATTAGAAGATATGTCAACTTGCCGGTATCAATTTCACTACTTTATTTAATTTGAAAGTTCCAGGGTCAGAAATCATTTGCTCATTCTATTCTTTCCTTTTTTTCCTTTTTTTTCCCTGAATGATAAGTTTAAAAAATGAAATAAATTTCTCAATACTGGAATATTATTAGAAATTTTTTTGAGTTTGGTGACTGCTTGATATGCACAGCCACGATGGGAAATGATTAAAAATTATTGTTTTATGAACAAGTTTTGAAAATATTGTAGTTTTGATTTTTTTTTTCCTTTTAATTGTGGTAGTTTTTGTCCACGTGAAGAATTCTCATTGTCTTTCAAGTATGACTTGAGAGAAAAAGAATCATCTTTGAATTTTGCGTGTAATCTAAGATATTGTTCTTCAAAGACACGATTTGAAATTTGTAATTTTGAAAATTTTGTTATGTTAAATTCGTGCAACTATAAGGGGCGGTTCATTGGATCAAAATTGGTTAGGATAAATCGAAAGGGAATAAGGGGTGGTTCATTGGATTAAAATTGGTTAGGATAAATCGAGGGGGAATGAATTCAAATCTCACATTATAAGCTTGAATTCAAATCTCACATTATAAGCTTTTTGTTATCAATTATATTTTTGTAACTAATTCTAGGATTAATTACACCAAACATCTTTGGTATATTTAATTAATTTTAATTTTTTTTCTCAAAACGAGGATTCCTCGTCCTAAACCTCGATTCTCAAAATCGAGTAATGAGGTGGGGACGGGGACTTCATATTTTTCTGTCTCTAGTATATCTCTTCAACTCTATGATGTATTAAAAACATAAAAACAAAAAATGGTTATAAAACATTTTAGTTTTTGGTTTTTGAAAAACAAAAAACAAAAAACTATTTCATATATTAGAATTGTACATTATTTGAATATTATTGAAGTGAATAGTTTATTAGTATATATTATAATTTAATAAAACATTGTTTTCTTGATTAAAATGATCATTTTGGTCCATATACTTTTAAAAAGTGATATTCTAGTTCATATTCGAAAAAAAAAATTAACATAAATTCTATATATAATTGATACCTTTTAGTATAAATTCATTGTTACATTTAAAGAAATGTATTGAGTGTGGTGTCGTGTTGAAATTGTGATAAAAAAATAAGATCAAAAAAATAAAATTGAGGGACCAAGATGATCACTTTTTAACGGTAGAAAAAAAAAAGAAAAAAAAAGAAGAAAGTAGGACTAAAATTAACCAAAGATGAAAGTATAGAGACTAAATGAACATTTTAAAAGTATACGGACTAAAAAGAACAAAAGATGAAAATAGTGACCAAAATATAATTTTAATTAAGGCATAATCTTTAGCCAAATTTAAAACATGTATCCTTTAATAACTTATAAATTAAAATTTTATATCGTTTGAATCAGATTAAAAAAATATTTTATCAGTATATTTTACATATTAATAAAATAGAAATTTTCCTTCTAATGTATCAAATAAATTATTCTCTATATTGTTGAATGTATTCAATACGTTAAATATGAATGTGAATATTTAAAATTTAACTTTATTTCAATATAGTTGATCGTGTGAGAAAGCATTATTACCCGATGTCAATAGTGAAATGTACAATCAAACACAATTGTGATTAAGTAATAAAGAGAATACTCAAAGATATCGTCTCCATAATGTCAACTGGTAAAAGGAAAATGCGGTTGACACACTCGAGATGGACAATGGACAATGATGTCAAAAATAATGTAAGAGTTTTTATGTCAATTGATTTTTGTAGGTCTGCATGTTATATGGGATAATCCCAATGACCTAATTATTTAAAATACTAGTACACGTCTAACATGCACAACAAATATCTCAATAGTATTGTATTTTATAACAAATAATTCAACATATAACTAGTTCATACTCCAAGAATCTCACTACATTTGTAATAAAAAACTAATGATCAACTAAAATTTTCAACATGATTTTTGCTCAAACTTAAAAACTAACCAGAATGCAATAATAATACTTAAGAATAATTAAAACTATATTGACAAATCTATCTCACTTAAATTCATAACATATCTCATCATTCGAACTATTCGAACTATGTATATGACTTTTTTTGTCTTTTTAATTGAATGGCATAGAAAAAAGTGATAAATAATATTAGCATTTTAAATATAGAAAGTATTTTCAATCGTTCAACTTAACAATACAACTAACACATTTAACTCATAAGTAGTAAGGCACTCATCTCAATAACCAATGATCTACCTATATACTATATACAGGCACTACGTTTCCCACTAAGATCTTATAAACCTTTTCTCTTTTCTACATCAGCATCCTAACCATGGAACCATCCAAGTCACCAAAGTCAATATATCATCAAGCATACTGAATATACAACCATAATCAAATAAGATTATGGGAGCTACATTTGTTACGCCCCAGGACTTCCCACACACTCCTAGGTCACGTTAACTACCCACCTATCTAAACTTAACCCCAAACACGAGATGACGACTCCCTGTGAAATAATTATATAAAATAAAGCTTCAGCTCTCATCAATTTAACAATAAATCAACTCTATAGAATATCAAGCAAACATCATCCGTGGACAACCTCATGATGCAACTTTATTATTCCAACTAGGCAAACTCAATGAATGGAGGAAAACTAAAATAAACACCTATCCCGAAATAAAGTAAACAACGAGTGGGAACCTCCCAATTATTCAAATAAGAACAAATAGTTTATTGACCAAAACATAAGGTCTTAACCATCTAAACTTAAGCTAAGCAAAAGTAACTACGCAGCCTATGGTCCTCGCTCGTCATGTCTCCTCCGTCTCAGCACCATGGTCGCCAACGAATCCTTCACCTGAAACAATAATTGTAGGGGGGGGGGGTGAGTATATAAAATATACTCCGTAAGTAGCCCTCACCAACAACACACAAACATCATGCTCAACAAAATCATGAAACATTCATAGTCATGCTCTTCATCACATTATGCAATCAAACATAGACACACTCTATAAGATTCGGYGACAACCACAACCATGAACAAATTAGTTACCAACCTCGAGTCTCCCTAACATCTCAAGCACCTCTACGCTTATCACAGCTATCCTAGCCTTCCACAGCTAACTCCTTCGAGTAGAGTCGGCCCCTGATCATTTTTACCCAGAGCCCCGACACTACTGCATCGGCCCTCGACCATTTTTACCCAAGGTCCCGATGACTTCACCATCTATCGGCCCTTGACCATTTTTACCCAAGGCCCCAATAGTTTTCTTTCCAAAAGACTCCTCGCATCGACCCTTGACCATTTTTACCCGAGGCCTCGATACTCAATTAGTGATGTATCAGCCCCCGACCATTTATACCCGAGGTCCTGACACTCACCCATTCACTTTCCCCAAGATCCAACGTTCCCTGTCATGACCAGCTTCACATCAACCCCTAGCCTGCGAACAGGGTCCGAATATATGCTTCAATAACACTCACAACTCATAAGAAGATAATATGACTCAGACCAGCACGCTCGCATTACAAAGAAACATTTATATAAACTATACAAGCACACTCACATCATAAGAAAGCATAATCACCATAATTCTATTATAACGTGCATCCTTTGTAAACATACATCATCCCACAACAATTCTCAGCAGTTTAGCAAGGCAAAAATTACACCATTATCACCGACAAATATTCCACACTAGACCAAGTATACAGATTAACACAAACGAGACTTACCTAGCTCAATAGCATATCAAAATCAATATTAAACATCACAAGACAGCACATTAGAAATCAACCAGCACACATCAACGCACGCACACGCCCCTTATCTACTTACTCACAACCGCGCCCTTAAGTTTTGTGTCGATCTCACACCTAGGCACTAAAACAGAAAAAAACAAGAAGTTACATATACGTTTCAGCCTTCGAAATTAATTCTAAGAGGGTTCAAATGACTCATTACCACAAAATCGACTTCGTATAGGTATGGGTAACCTAGATCTAGCTCACCAAGGTCTGAGTAGCCTAAATCGAGCTCCGAACAGATGTGGGTAAGCTCGAATGCTACTGAAACGCTGCTGTCCAGGAGTTGCAGCAGAGGAAAAATACTCCAACTCCTCTTTCGACACTGTTGAACGCTAAAACAACGTCTGGGTCATCCAAACCACGCTTCCTCGGGTTGTGGGTTATCACCGAAACTCTGAGACGCCGCCAAAAACACCCAAACACAGCCGCTACACTTCAGTCCGCCGCTGCACCTGCTACGAATTGCAGCCGCTGGAACGCCGTGGGTCGCCAGC